ACCTGGCTCAGCTCAGTTGGGTGCAGTTTTTTGAATTCACCTAATCTTTGTCATGAATGAAATTGTCTGTAATCAAACATGAAATTTGTGTTACTCTCCAATTGTCCCCTAATATATTAATTGCATTAGAACAAATTCTCATTTTCAAAATAATCATTAACAGCAAAACTGACTGTACCACTGTGAAATGACACCATCTTGGCCTGTCTAGATTGAGTTTGGCACTTATAACCGTCTACTGTTTCTGTAGTGAAGCCTCTGAAGATATTGACACCTCTAACTGATCAGACTGTAAAACTTGGAAAAGAAATCTGCTTGAAGTGTGAAGTCTCTGAAAACATAACAGGAAAATGGACTAAAAATGGACTCCCCGTTCAGGAGAGTGACCGTCTAAAAGTTGTACACAAAGGAAGGTAAGCAAGCGAGGCGATCCCTAAGTGAGGTCTGGCCCCCGTCTTTACTTTCTTCCCTTCCTAAATTACATAGTTGGCAAGGAAAGATGTTTGAAGAGGAGTCATAGGGAAAGGATCTAGTTCTGATTCATTGCTTCCAAATAGCAAGAGTGTGTGCTTTCTCTGTTGTACATCATGTCCTGATCCTGGGTCTGCACCTTACGATGTGGTGCTTTGTTTATTCAAAACCCACTGACATATTCTATCAAAACATGAGGTTAGAGGAATGATACTGAATTCTAGTTGAGGAGCTGTTTGAATTGGATTATTTGTCCCTAACCAATAAGTATCACATGACCTTTCCACAATTTTTTTCTTGTTTAGGAGGGGACAAAATATCCTAAAATCTAGCAAAAAATCTAAGGCATGGGTTCTCAAACTTGGATCCATGGATCCTAAAGAGATCATGAATGAACTTTAAGGGCCCTCATAAATCCTCTGAAATTGTAAGCAAATTATGTGTTTACAAAAATACTTGTTTTTGTCCAGCAAGATCGATTGTGCCCATCAGATTTTCAGTGGTTCATGACCTCAGTAAAGTTAAGAAGTATTACTCTTAGGTTTGTTATATAAAGCCAAAGTCAAGGTTATTCTTAATAATTTCTAGAATCTAAAAGTATAGCATTAGTGAGATATTTTCTTTTAGATTTTTTAATGCTATGAGATTAAAAAAAAGGAATAAGAGATTCTTGACTAATAAGTAAGTTGTATTTATAGAGATAATTCCATATAGTCTAAAATAAATACTTAATATGGATCAACAAATAGGATAATTAAGACTTCACACTATTCTCTCTCCAGGCTGCACTAAACAAGTTAACAGATAAAACCCAGGTGTCTCCTCGGTTTGGATCATATACAATCCAAATCTTTGCAAAGTCTTAGAAATATGTTTTTTTCATTTCCTTAGAATCCACAAATTAGTGATAGACAATGCTCTCATTGAGGATGAAGGTGATTATGTATTCACACCAGATGCCTACTCTATTACCTTGCCTGCCAAAGTTCATGTTATTGGTGAGTAGATAAAAGAAGTCTTGGCAGAGTCCCGATCTTTTATTTTTGATTTTGTTCACCTTGGAATTGTAACATATTTAAAACTGTGTGATATTTAAAGAAAAAAAATACATGAACTGTTACTGATCACTAATCATAATAATTGATTCTTAAGAAATCTTACAATGAAGTAGTTCTGCAAGGTGCCAGGTACTATATACATTAACTCCTCTTACATTCTTTTTGGCCAGATAAAATATTGGCACTAGCCAAGTACTAGCCCAGATGTTCACATGGGAATGACTGTCTGATAACAAAGGCCATGTTTAATATTCCAGATCCTCCTAAAATCAACCTGGATGGTCTTGATGCTGACAATACAGTGACAGTAATTGCAGGGAACAAGCTTCGTCTTGAGATTCCCATCAGTGGAGAACCTCCTCCTAAAGTTATTTGGAGCCGAGCAGATAAGGTTTGTTCTACACACACACACACACACACACACACACACACCACGCACACTCCCCAGCTCACTTCCTGACCTCCATTAGTCGGGTGAAAGAAGCAGCAAGTAACTGTACAGGGGTCCAGCAACAGTATAATTCCTTTGATAAAGAAAGCTCACTGGTTTTCAGGCAAATGTAATAATCATCCATTTACTTTTCATATTTGTAATCACCTACCATGTGACCAGGCATGTTTCTATGTGCAGTGAACAAGATTCCATTTTTCATTCTAATGAATGTCAGGGAATGGGATGGAAGAGAAGGAGACAATGAACTATTAAATAAGTAGGTGGACAAGATTATTTTGCATAGTAATAAGTGCTATGAAAACTAAGCAAAAATAGGCTAATATGATTAGCAAGCGACTGTGTGGTGAATGACAACAGCCTCTCTGAATGACGACAAGGAACCAATTATGTGAAGAGCAAAGGAGAGAGATTTCCAGGTGAAGTCAATGCAGGTGCAAAGGACGAAAGGAGAGAATGAGCTTGATGTGTTGGGGGAATAAAAAGAGCCGGCGTGGCTGTGGCAGAGTGAGGGAGAGAAAAGTAAGGTCGGAGCGGTGGCCTGTACCAGCTCATACATGACCCTGTGGCTTCCTATATAAAATGTTTTGTGGGCAGCAAAACCACGCTTTATGATTCTATAATTATGGATACATGTCATGATAGATTTGTCAAAATCCACAGGGTGCAAAACACCAAGAGTGAACCCTGATGTAAACTATGGACTTTAAGTGGTAGCAATGTGTTAATGTAGGTTCATCATTTGCAACAAATGTCTGCTCCAACATGGGATGTTAATAGTTGGGGAGGTTGTGCATATGTGGGGACAGGTTGTATGAGAGCTCTCTGAACTTTCCATTCAATTTTGGAGTCAACCTAAATCTGTTCTAAAACTAATTTCTTCATCATCATCATCATTATCATCAGCAGCAGCAAAGAGTTGGAGAGTATTTCCTCCTCTATTTTCTGGAGGAAAAAAAAGTATCATTGAGCTATGGGACAACTTCAAACAGTCAAATATAAGAGCAACTGGAGTCTCCAAAAAAGGGGGCCAGGAAAATATTTAAAGAAATAATGGCCAAATTTTTTCTAAATTTGATAAAACTATAAATGCAGATACAAGAAGCTCAATTAAAACCAAGCACAAGAAGCATTAAGAAAATGACACCAAGACCCAGCATAATTAAATTTCTCTAAACTCGTAAGTAAGCAAAAAATCTTAAAAGTAGACAGAGAAAAAAGTCATTTAAAACACTGGAATATAGGCAGGGATGACTTCAGATTTCTCTGGAATCAAGGCAATTGAGAGTATAGTAAAGCAACATTTTTAAAGAAAAAAACCTGTCAACCTAGAATTCTGTACTCAGCAGAAATACTTTTCAGAAATGAAAGCAAAATAAAATGATTTTCAGATATATAAAATCTGAAAGAAATCATCACCAGCAAACCTTCACTACAAGAAATGCTAAAAGAAGTCCTTAAGTTAGAAGGAAAATGATACCAGATGAAACATTTTCACAAAGGAACAAAGAGCATCAGAAATGGTAACTATATAGATAAACATATAAGAGTTTTTAAAAAATATTTAAGTCTCTTAAAAAGATAATTGACTCAAAAATAATAACAATGCACTGTGTGGCTTATACTATAGGTGTAACTAGGTATAAATAAAATTTATAACAATAAAAACCTAAGGTCAAGTAGGGAGAAATGGAGGTAAGGATCAGGAGAGGTGAAATGGAAGTATGCTATTGTAAGTTTCTTTTGTTTGCTATACATGAAGTATTACAGTATCATGTGAAGGTAGACCATGAAAAGTTAAAGATGCATACTATCACCTAAAGGACCTACTAAAATAAAAAAAGATTTATAGCTAATAAGCCAACAAAGGACATAAAATGCAATCACAAAAACAATTAATTCAAAAGAAGGCAGAAAAGAAGCATAAAGAACAGATGGGACAAGTAGGAACAAAAATAGCAAGATATAGAATTACAAAGAGAAATATATAAATTAGAGATTTCAATATTCTTCTCTCAATAGTTCATAGAACAAGAAGACAGACAATCATTAAGGATATAGAAGATTTGAAGAATACTATCAACCATCTTGACCTAATTGACATTTTCTAGAACACTCCATTGAACAAGCAGAATGGGCATAATTTTAATATGCACATGGGAAATTTACCAAGATAGACCATAAAAAAAGTCTCTATAAATGTTAAAGGATTCAAGTTATGCAAGGTATGTTCTCTGACTACAATGGAATTAATTAGAAAGCAATAACAGAAAGATATCTGGAAAATTCCCAAATATTTAGAAACTAAGTAGCATTTTTCTAAACAACTCATGGATTAAAGAAGTAATCACAGAGAAAATTAGAAAATACTTATGAGCACACCACATACCAGAATTTGTGAAATGCTGCTAAATCAGTACTGAATAGCCTTCTATCTATAAAAGAAATGGAATTTGTAGTTGAAACTTGTCACACACAAAAATCCCAAGACTAAGATGGCTTTATTGGAGAATTCTACCAAATATTTAATAAATAAATAATACCAATTCTACACAAACTCTTCCAGAAAATCAGAGAAGAGAGAATAGGAGTGTTTCTCAACCCACTCTTGAAGGCCCAGTATTACTCTTACAGCAAAATCAGAAAAAGACATTACAAGAAGAGAAAACTACAAACCAATATCACTCATGAACATTGAAGCAAAAGTTCTAGACAAAACTTAGCAAATTGAATCCAATGATGTGTAAAAGGAATAATACATTATGACAAAGTAGAGTTTATCCCAAGAATACAAAGTTTGGTTGAATCGATTAGTATTATTTACCGTATTAACAAACTAAGTGAAACAAGTATGATCATCTCAATAGACACAAAAACATTTGACAAAATCCAACAGTTTAATATCTCTCAGCAAACTAGGAAGTGAAAGGAACTTTCTCAACGTGATAAAGACATCCATGAAAATTCTGCAGCTATCACCCTACTTAATGCTGAAAGATTGAATGCTTTCCCCCTACGAACAGGAACATTTCTCTTCAACACTGTACTGGAGGTCTAGCCAGGGCAATCAGGCAAGAAAAAGAAATAAAAGTAACCATATTAGAAAGAAGAAGTAGAACTGTATTTATATTCAGTTGACAATCATAGATGTAGAAAATCCAATGTAACATATAAAAAATCCACTGGAACAAATGGTCACGGTAGCCTTATTTGTATTTTCCAAAAGCTGAAAACAATGCAAATGTCCATCAACAGGTGAGGTGTGCACATGGCTCCCAAGGCGCACGGGGACACCGTGAGGAGTGATGGAAGTCATCGGCATCTTGATTGCGGTGGTTACACAATCACATAAATTTGTCAAAATTCATAGAACTGTCTATTCAAAAAGTGTGAATTTTATTCTGTGTAAATTATAACACAACAATGAACAAAATAAAATATAGAAAATGGAAGAGGATAATGTAACACCTCTTAAATATTTTTCTTTCCACATGAAAAAAAGCAGAACATCTTTTATAACCTTAAGATTAGAATTTGGCTAATATGATAAAATGTTCTATTATAAAACAAAAAAATTACAAAAACTATTTCAGGGATTCTTACAGTTGCCGCAGTCTTTTGTTATTGAAGATGTATGAGTTCTAATCCAGAGACAAAAGAGTAGAGAGTTACCAGTTAGTGGGAAATTACTTAGATTACCTAAAGTTACCTTGATCGTCTGTGTTTTGCCTCTTTGTTTACTGGCCGTTCATTGTATTGAAGATATAACTTGGGAATAAAAAAAACCACTGATGCTGTTTTAAATTCTGGTTTAAGAAAAATGGAATGAAAGAAGTGAAGGAAAAGAAGGAAGGAGGAGCAGGAGAAGGGAAAAAAGAAAATAGAGTAGAAGGCTCGACCTCACTGTCTTTACTTTGGGAATGAGAAGCTCATTCTTTTGTGGACGTCCTATAGGAAGGGAAAACTCAATACTCAATAACTTGTATGAAAAACTGGCATTGCAGCCTTCAAACGTTTTCAATATTTTAAATATTTCAAGACATTTGAGAAAATGAGGGGGGGGAATCATTATTTAGTTTGCAGAAATGAATTTATTCCTAATTTCATGTGCAAAGAGACTTCTCTCCTAGAATAACACTCCATACTCATATCTTTAGCCCTCCAACTTTTTCTTTGGTCAGTTAATGATTGGCGGGCTTGGGGGTCAAACCCCAGCTCTACCACTTCTCAGTCTTCCCATGTGTAAAATGGGATGATACCTTCGTCCTTAGAGTTGATGGAGGGTTAAACTAAGACTGTGTGTTTTAGGCGTTAGTCCCATGTGCAGCTTAAGCTATGGGGCACTCTGGCATAGTCCTTGCTGCTGTACAGATCGGATCACATTTTACTGCTTTTCTCCGTAGGCCATTATGGAGGGCAGTGGCCGGATCAGAGCAGAATCTTACCCTGACAGCAGCACTCTGGTTATTGATGTAGCTGAAAGAGAAGATTCTGGTGTTTACAACATAAATCTGAAAAATGAAGCTGGAGAAGCACATGCAAGCATCAAGATTAAAGTTGTGGGTAAGTCCACTGGATGAGTAAACTTCTAAAATCAAGTTGGCATGTCTAGATCTCGAGTAGCCTGTCAGCTTTTGATTCTCTCAGCTTTTCTGCGGAGAACAACAAAGAGAAACATAGCATAGCTATATTTTACAAGTCACTGCCTTTCTTTTTCTATCTTTGCCACTTTCCTTTCCTTCTCTTTTTCTTTCCTTTCTCTTTTTTTGTGTGTCATGGGGAACATATTGCAGTAAACATGCAAAAGTACTCAGAAGTAACACTGCTTCTATGATTATCACCAAAAAACATTTTCCAGTTAACGTTTTTCTTTGCACACACTCTCTCTCTTTTATTTTATTCTGTTTTTTTGTTTTCTACAGACATCCCTGATCCTCCAGTGGCACCGAATGTGACAGATGTGGGAGATGATTGGTGCATCATGAACTGGGAGCCTCCTGCCTACGACGGAGGGTCCCCCGTCTTAGGTAACTGCGTGTTGGTCAGTCTGTGGAACTGCCACTGGAGTTGAGGTCCTCTTTGCACATTAGTACAGAGTACATTAAAAATAGGGCATTTAGAAGAAAGTTTATTCTACTGTCTTTACATATGCATTCAAACTAAAATGCTGTATTTTGGGATGCTCTGTAAGTACTCAAGGTTTTAATAGCTCTGATGAATATTATCTGATTACTTGCTCTCTTTTTTGGTTGACATATATTCTATATAATCCTGAGTTATTTTAAAGTTATGAGTCTAACTTTAAACCATTCTACTCAGTAAATATGTTTCCATGTAATTGTGTCTATAGAGAAATTTCTTTTAGAGTTAAATACTTAGAGTATTTGCTTTCCCTATAGAACAAAAACTCTTTTCTACTTACTAATTATGAAACTCACAAAACTGGTCATTTCCCCTTCATGCATATATTTCTGGGATTCAGAGCTAAATCTATTGGGCAACTATGCCAACTATGTAAATTGGTAAGACCTACATATCTGTGATCTGCTTTTCTCTTTTCTTCTTAGTACAATTTTAATTTTTTCCAGTCCTATTATTTTTATTTTCTCCTATGATGCTAGTACTTACATTCCCTATAATCTGTCTTAAACAACTGATGAGATAAGGTGGTTTAAAAATACGTACATGCATGACTCTTGGACTTAGAGTGCTTAGAATATTGTAAAATTTAAGAACGTCTAATATCTGACAAAGTACAATTTTGGAGACCAAAGGGGAAAAAGCCACATTTCTCTTTTGTGTCACCTGCAGGCTACTTTATTGAGAGGAAAAAGAAACAAAGCTCCAGGTGGATGAGACTGAATTTTGAGCTCTGCAAAGAAACAACTTTCGAGCCCAAAAAAATGATTGAAGGCGTGGCCTACGAGGTCCGTATCTTTGCCGTCAACGCTATCGGCATCTCCAAGCCCAGTATGCCCTCCAAGCCATTTGTTCCTTTGGGTGAGTCAGGAGAGACGTGTCTTTGTCCTGGGAATCAATGCCCCAGGTTGTGACTGCTTCCTTCAGACCTCTACCTGGAGCCCACCTGGAGGCCTCTTGGAGTGGGCGGGTGAGCAGGAGGCTGGAGGTGGTTAGGAGTAATTTTCTGCCTAAGAAATTTGGTAGAGTTGAATGTCTTCATAGTGTTGGTTCTGGAATTCATGACCAGAATTCCAGTGACAGCTGTGGGTGGCTCCGGTTTCTGCTTCCCACTGAAAACATGTTGCTGAAATTCACACATGACCACCCTCCATTATGTCCTTCTGAAGGTAAAACCCGGCACCTTGGTGTAAACACTGTAACTGAAACAGACTGAGACTCAGTCCACAAAACACACTTGATAACTAGTTTTTGCTTTATGATCACATCTTTTTTTTTTTTTTAATATCTTTTTATTGATTTTTAGATTGAGAGGAAGGGAGAGAGATAGAGAAACACCAATGAGAGAGAAATGTCATCGATTGGCTGGCTGCCTCCTGCACACCCCCTACTGGGGACTGAGCCCACAACCCAGGCATGTGCCTTGACCTGGAATCAAACTGCCATCTCCTGGTAATAGGTCAGTGCTCAACCACTGAGCCACACGGGCCAGGCTACAATCACATCTTAAATGCTATTTATCGAACCAAAAGAGTCAGCTTAGCTAAGACAAAGAAACAGAAGATGAGGCCTTTACTATTCTGTGGCAGTACAGTTTGTTTTTTCAATAGCAAGATTTAATACCAGAGTTTGTGCTTTAAAACTAGAGAGTTATGGAAAATTTACTCTAGATCATTAGATCCCAGACTTTGACTTTCTCCAACTTCCTTGGGCCTCCCAGCCTCCCACACCGGCCTCCCAAATTGGAGGGAACGTGCAGCAGCATTTTAAAGTATTTCCATGCCTAGCAGATCTTTGCTTTACACACAGCATATGCTTGAGGAGTCCTCATCAAATTTTATTATGATGTGGGTCTTCCGTGTTTATTTTTATTTGTATCCTAGCTCATTTTATTGCCATTCCTGGTGCCATCACCCTGTAGTTAATAATTTCTTCTCTTTCTGTCTCTTTTATCTTTGAAGCTGTAACCAGCCCTCCTACGCTCCTGGCTGTTGACTCTGTCACTGACACCACTGTCACAATGAAGTGGCGGCCCCCGGATCAGATTGGTGCCGCAGGTTTAGATGGCTATGTGCTAGAGTATTGCTTAGAAGGAAGTAAGTACAACTCATGGGTAAAATGAATACCATCACGACTAGGTGAGATATGCTCCCCCTTTCTTTTGTATCTCTCTCTTGGGAACTCATCTCCTTCCTACTGAAAATGACAAGCCAAAGGTCATCCTTCTAAGATGGATTAAAATTTAGCCCTTCCTTGATACTTGAGGCTAACAAATTGAGATCTCAAAAATATCCTAGCTCGGCTGCCCGATTGGACAGCTCAATTGATCTAAGACATAGGAGGGAAGGGATGCTGAAAACGGTTTGGGGACTTTCAGTTCTTGAATCAATGGAATTGAATTGTACCAAAGCGAAATAAAAGTCTAGTTAGGATGAAGGGAGTTGGAAATTCTAAACCCTATGCTGAGCAGAGGTCAGCGATCCAAATAGCTGCCTCTTTCTGGGGAATAAAGAGCAACGGCATATTTGACTATCTGATGATCATCCCCCGCCTTCTAAGGGGGGACAGAAGAAGAATTAAGAACAAGTTTTCAGGGTTTAAGGGAAGCAGCATTAAATCCCACATGGAGTACGACGTGGGTTCTACATGCAGGAACTTCTCTCAGGGCCTGGGTACATAAAAATGTAATCACTTAAACTTAGGAGCAGAAAGAAACAGGAAAACAATTGAAAAATAATAGAAAAAGAGAAAATGACACAAAATATGGGCCAGAGTGTACCTAAGACCAGAAAAGATGTGAAATTCACGGAAAGCTGCTTGTGTTTTTCTATTTCCTACTTGTCACGATTTGAAAATGTCTGAATCCAACTGCCCCAGCTCTGGACTCAGCAGGCCCCATTCTAGACGACGGTAGGTGGGCCACGCACAGGGAGGCATGTTCACATCCCCGCAAAGGACGAGCCAAGGTGTAGCCTCCAAGAAATCTCTTTGGACCCCAAACTTTAACACGGATCTCACATGAAGGACAGAGAGACCACAGAGCACATTGGGGAAAATCAGGAGTGTGAACACAAATGCACCTCCCCGGGAGGAAAAAACCTCGATGGAGAAGAAGCTTCTTATGAAGAGAAAACTGCTGAGAAAGCAAAGCCCCCGGCCCCCGGACTGGGGCAGCTGTGGAAGTGCCCGGCTGGGCGGGAGGGAAGAAGAGGGGGGGACAGAGCACCCTGGTACCAGTTCCATTTTCATGCGCTGTGCTCACGGAGCACTAGGCTCGTTTGTCCAGGGCTTAGAAAGGCACTAAGCAAACCAGTGGGGACATTCTGAGGAAGTCCCCAGAGTTATCCCGGCAGGGGAGGGAGAGGGGGATGTCGCTAGGGCAACAGGTAATTTCGTGAGCGTTTCAGAATGTGGGTTGATTCCCGTTCCATTCCCCCCTGCCCTTTCAAAAAATCATGAGCACTTCAGCCTGCTGTTTATACCACCCAGCCAGCAGGGTTGCCCCGTCTTGTATGTGTTGTGGCTGCTGACCACGAACCTTTTGTGTATGTATGACCCGGAGCAAATTCTTTACTCTTTTCTTTCTGATAGGTTTAAAAAGTAAGAAGATACAGCAAAATGATACATGGCTGTCATTTTGATGTTACCCACCTTAGATAAAATACAACGAAGTGTATTTTACATGATTTTGTGTGTGGTCTGTGTAGATATATATGTATGCACATATACATATATATAGGTACACGGTCATTCTGATGTATATACTTTGCCACATAACGTTTTGGAATTAGCTTTCTATGGAACGTGTATCTCTCTTCTTGCAGTCTTTTCTCACTTCCTCTCCGTGGCTGCCCTGTTCTTCATTCTCTTTTAATGGCTGTTGTCCTCAGACTAATTTTCTGTAGTGTTTAATGCTTCCCCACACGTCAGGGTTCAGCCCGTGAGGCCTCTCTTTGTGAGATGGTGTGCTGGTTTGGATCTGCCTCTCTCTCGTTTGGGGTTTTTAACGCCTGCAGCATCTTCCTCTCCTCCGTTTCTTCCTTCGCTCTCGCCCCTCTTCTCTTGGTTTCCCTCCGTTAAAGTGGTTCAGAGGCGAGGGGATCGCTGTTTTTGTTCCCCTCAGATCCTGCTGCGTCCCGTTTCCTCTCGGAGTTTTCTTCTCTACTAGTTCTTTGCTCTCTCGTGCACGTTTTCCTGTCTCCTGGTTTCACTTCCTCATCAGCAGTCTCTTGACTATGAAATATCAACACAGTAGCTTCCACACCGACCACAGGCTTCAGGATGCATCTCTTTTTCAAAGTCCTAAGGAGTTTTTAGTATCCACATGCCCTCCCAGTCAGCAGAATGCTCTGGCTTGCTTCTCCCTGATATCCCTAGAAGGGCTGGAATGAGACAGAGGAGAGAGTTGCGCGGGGGCCAGGGTGGCCCCCGCTCCCGATGCCCAGAAAGTCATCGTCCCAAGGCCCTGGGCTATGCCCATGACCCCCCGTGAGCCAGTAGCATCTCCTCCACTCTTGGAGAAGGCAGAGACCACCAGCTCAATTTGTTTGCTGGACCATGAGCTTGCTGTCATGGCAGCCAGGGGCTGCCTCCTGGGCTGCTGGGGCAGTTTCCATTTCCTTTGGGAATTTGAGCCTGGGTGGGACAAGGCTGGCCTTCCTATGAGCGCCCTCACTCCCCGGCTGACACATGAGCTCCCCCAGGGGAGCGCTCTGTTCCCCAGGAACTCAGAGGACCCTCCCTGGCTGGCGTAGGTGGGGCAGGAGCCAGGACGGGCCTTTCCACTGTGCGCTGCTCCCTGTGGAGTCCGGGGCCTGCGCCTCCACCCTCTTCAGGGTCTTGCTTGGGTCTTCTCTCCCTCTTGCCCCCACAGCTAGGGGTGCCCCCGCCTCCTTCCACCTCCTCTTCTCTGTGGCAGGTGCCTCAGGACAAAAACCACAGTCTGAACAGAGCAGGCTGTGCCCCTCCTGAGGAATCCCCCCTCTAACGTGTTTGGTCTCTTCCGTCACTGCTCTGAAGACAAATATCTTTGCATACTTTGCATACTTTACTAACAGAGAATGCTGACTACTGATACATATTCTTCTGGTGTGAAAAGTGGGTGTCTTTAATTAATTTTAATGACGGACTCTCAAAGGTACATCAGCAAAACTGTCTGATGAAAATGGGGAGGCTGCGTATGATCTGTCAGGTAAAGTACTCTGTGAAAGCTTTCACACTTGCTTACTCTATGATAAAGTCTCTGGGAATGTCCCATGGCCCAGCATGAAGTACACCCGCCATCCACACACACAAGAAGAGTCCTTAGGGATGGAGGGGGCGGGGGTGGGCAGTGAGTTAACAACGTGGGATCCAAGCCTTCTTTTGTCCGGTGGGATTAATGCATACAAACTTTTAGAAGCTGAAATAGTTATTTGCCCTGGATGCTAGACTGAGGTGGAAGAATTGTACCGGCTCCTTATAAGGTCTTGGCTCCTGAACAGTGTTTCCACTTTTTGTGGCTACGTTTCCACTTTTTGTGGATATATGCGTATTTTCTTCATAAATGGGAGCATGGTCAGATTCCCTAAGCTCGTGTTAGTGTCTCATAGTAATTAGCCAAAATGAAACAGAGAGATTATATGACTGTAAAGGTCGGCGTCTCTCATTCATAAGAATAATAGTTTCCTGTTTTTCTGAACTTTAATGTATAGGGATGGCTAAATATCATGGTTACATCCTTCACTATAAAACTGCTGCCTAATTTCTGGAGACACTATTATGCAGGAGACCCTAGCATCCTGAATACAGGTTTTTCAGAAATAGCAGACTCTGATTGTCCTCCTTCCTGTTACTTACATTGGCCAGTAGAAGCCATTTTTCATTTAATTATAAGTAAAATACTAATTTGGAGTTGACTGTACCTGTTAGAATGATTTTCACTAAACATCGTCCTGCCTTCTTTTTCTTTTGTGGGTTTTAGCTGAGGACTGGATAGTTGCAAACACCGATCTGATTGACAAGACCAAGTTCACCATCACAGGTCTGCCCACGGATGCTAAGATCTTTGTGCGGGTAAAGGCTGTGAACGCAGCCGGGGAAAGCGAGCCCAAGTACTACTCTCAGCCCATTCTTGTGAAGGAAATCATAGGTAGGTGGTGAGCCTTCAAAATGTTGTCTCTGTTCCACATTATTTGCTTTCCTTTCTTAAACCAGCTTCTTCAAAACTTCCTATTTCCTTGTCATACCTTTGATATTGTATTTGTGCTTCCTGTGAGTTAAAAATAACAAAACAGTTCTTTTCAGGCAGCGTGGAAGGCAGGCCCGGGTTTATAACTTGGTATGAGGGCCAGTTACAGTTAGTTAGCCTCACTGGTTCCTCACCACTGACCATTGGGAGAGACAGAGAGAGGGAGGGTGGGGGTGCAGTGAGGGCCAGTTAGTTAGCCTCACTGGTTCCTCACCACTGACCATTGGAAGAGACGGGGGGGGGGG